GTTAAACTTTTATTGTTAATTTCAAAATGACGCCCTCGGTAACTCTTAAACTGAAAACAACAAATAGAAACGCGTTATGGGCCTTCAAGGGCTAACAAATAATCCCTTCAGTCAATTCACTGCACCCAACACCCTGTATATTATAGCTCGGTGCTTGGCGGCCTCCACAATTTTGAATTTTGAATTTTATAATGGAAAAGCTTACTTAGTTTCGTTCAGTGGTATCACAAACACGGATACTAGTGTGACTGAACATTAGATAAGAATTATTTGCAACCGTTTGGCGGGTTTGTCCCATTAAAAAAAAACAAAAATATTTTTAGTTATTATTTACAATGATTGTTAGTATATTGGTCGCGTTAGTATGTATATGTTTGGCGTATGTGGTCCTGTGTCGGTGGTACTTCCCAGTGAATGATCAAGTGGCGACATTCCCAGGGAAATGGCCGCTCATTGGTCATGCGTACAAATTCATGTGTTCTGACAGTAAGTATGAAAGTACTTTTTACTAGTTTTTATTTATGAAATCTTTCAACTAAAACATACCGCAGTTCAAATGTTACGAATTAACTACTGATGTAGTACTGTACTGTACTGTACTGACTACTGAACACTGTTGTGTCCGATTATGAAGAATCCACAAAAAAAATCATACAAAAGTAGTCTGTAAACATCGGAATTAAGGTCTATAATGGTGTAAGTGGAATTAAGGTCTATAACGGTGACCGCTTAAATCACCTTGACCTTTTGACAAGTTTCTAAATACATAATAGCCAAATTATGTGTTGACTTATTGTTTTTCAGATGTATTTGAAAATATGATGGCATTTGGGGAGTATTCCGTGAAGATTGGAGATGTCACGAAGTTTTATATAGGACCAGTGCCCTTATACGGTTTGTTATAGTAAATAGTAATTTTGTAATTACTTATACCAAATTAAAATCAACCGATCAATATTTTTTTGTTTCTTAGATTAGATCTGATTAATCAATCATTTATTATTTCTTAGATAAAGGTATGTTAAGACTTACAAATATATTTTGAGTGAAACAAGTGAATTTATTTCTGCAAATAGGCTACAAGGCAGCACTTTTACATGCCAATTTTATCAAGCGATGAGGTCGACATTTCCTAACTGACTACTCTGAGAAGAAATGCCGAAACAAACTCAGAGGTCGGTTTTTTTTTAGAATTTAAGTTTACCTTAAAAGCACCTTCAAATTATGTCAAATGGCGTTCCATTGCCTGTTCCTGGCAAACGGTGGTAGTGTGTGTGTGTGTGTAACACTGCTATTAATGTACTATCAAATATCTTTCAGTTGTGACAGACCCCGAGGATGTCGCTACAGTCGCCAACAAATGTCTGGACAAAATATTTGCTTGCCAGTTTATAAAACCAATGTTGGGTGATGTATTGTTTGTTGCTGAAGGTAATGATATATGTCTGTAGTTATTACATTAATTTGTAACGTTTCACTACATTTTTTTTAGTGACTTGCTTATATTAGATAGTGTTTTTGTTTCAAACCACTACAAAGGTACTAAACATGACCTCAGTGCTGATCTCTTACCATAGTTTATGATCCCATAAATTATGTTGATTGTTCAACTATTTAAAATTATTTCAGTTCCCGTATGGAAACGTAGTCGAAGAGTTTTAGACCTTTGCTTCAAGCAGCACATATTGGACGACTACCTCCAACTGTTCAATGAACGCGCTGAGCGGTTTGTCGAGACACTTGCTGATGACGTTGGTCAAGGTAAAGTGGACCTTATCCAGAAAATCACAAGGAGTGTTCTCGAAACTTCTTGGCGTGAGTATTGTAATCTGAGGAACATGCATATATTGGTAGTAGACCAGAGCTTACGTTAAAAAATCCATGAGTTTATTAGTCTCCATTTTTTACATCCCTACACACGTAGAACTCGTCAAGTTTTTTTCTTTAGTCAGTTACTAAATGAACATTTATTATGAAATAGTAGTAGTAATTAACTAATAGTAGTGTAATTTAAAATTAATTTCAAAATTATTCCAGTTACTACTTTGGGAGTTAATCTTGATGGAAAGGATGAAATTAATGATAACTTCGCTAAAGCGATAAACTGCTGTCTGGATACTCTCTGTGACAGGGTCTACAAGCCTTGGTTCATGTTTGACACTATCTTCAACTTATCCAACCACAAGAAGATTTTGGACAAGGCACTCGAAACCGTATTTAACTTTACTGGCAAAGTGAGTATATACCTTTACAAAGGTAACAGTGTGAATGTAAACTACTTGATTTATTTTTAAATGTTATACGCGACATTATTCATCTAGTCGAAATTATACGTGATGTAGAACCAGGAGTAGGTAAGACAAGAACAAAACAAAGTTTTACAATATATAATTATGATAGTTAGGTTGTAACATTTTTAAGAATTATGTCTTGTTACTTGCTTAACTGGAATGAAAATTACAGATAGTGCAGCAAAGGAAGACAGAATATTTACAACGTTTGCAAGAGAAGGAAGACTTCAGAAGTAAAGGTACGAGAATAAGTCAACAAACGTACTGACTGAAATTAAGTTATGCATACATAAGTTTATAGAACAGGCTTGTGGTGAGAACATGTAATATTACTAACTAACTTCAAGAAAAATAAAAGTAGGTTCTCAGTTTGACCTGCGTGTATGATTGGCTGAGGCGATATTGAAGTGGTTTTAAGAACAGTGTTTGTTGCACTTAAGAAAAAGTTTTAGTATATTAATTAACCAACTTCAAAATAGAAGGGGTTGAAACCGGTTATTTTAAATGGGATTTATAAAAGAATTATTTATAAAACTTTCTCCTCCCTAGGTAATAAGGTTCAAAGCGTATTAGACGTAATTTTGGAAAACTCTGTTAATGAAACCGATAGCCTCTTCACTGATGTCGAATTGAGAAACTTTATGGACACCGTGGTGGTAGGAGCCTTCGACACCACTATCTACCAGATGCTCTACGTATTGATCTGCATTGGCAGCAGTTCTGAAGTACAAGAGAAGATTATTCAAGAGTAACGTATATTTTCGATACATTCGTTCTACTAATCCAATCGTTTTCTTTGATATTTTTCATTTCTGTTAACATCTATTTCAGGATGAATGAAGTTCTGGGCAAAGACCGACGTCTTCTAAGGGATAATCTATCTCAACTGGTGTATTTAGATGCAGTTGTTAAAGAAGCTGTCAGATTATATCCAGTTGGAGCAGTTATAGGTCGTGATGTGAAAACAGCTACAAAGTTGCGTGAGTATGATTTGAAGATTTCTATTTAAGATACTTATATTTTTGAGCAAGGATGTTGAACATATGGCGGACATAGTCTCTTGGAAAAAAGACTGTGGCACCTGGCTACTATAAACTTACACGTAGAATACACACACATTGACACGAATGACATTTGTCGTGTGACATGGCCCGCCATTACACTTCATACATTATGAAGTTGCAAGTACACGCACACATAAATACATCACTGACATTTTGGTGCACGTAATACATTTATGTAGTTACCTTGCCTTTAAATTGACAACATACCATAATATCACGCCTTTTATCCCCGAAAGGGTAGGCGAGGTGCACACAGAAGTAACACCCACTTTTCACTATTTATGTTATGAGTCCCATGTAATAGGGGGTGAACCTATTGCTATATACCGGACACATTTCCAGACTCCGTGCTACTGAACTAAATTGACAAGTACTTTATAAACGCAAACGAATTTATAAAAATTGTGTTTAAACAATTAAGAAACACGTAAAAATGTTCTCCTCAGGTAACGTGACCATTCCTGCAAACAGTTCTATTGTTGTGCATATATGGCATATAAATAGAAACCCAAAATACTGGGGTCCTGATGCGAAGGAATTTAGGCCTGAAAGATGGTTGGATTCTACAACTATACCTAGCCATCAAGCTGCATTTGCTACGTTTGGGCCAGGAAAAAGAGGTTGTGTAGGTGAGCTGCACTTCCCGGATACTTTTTCAAATACTAGTTTCAGTATTATGCTTTCCACATGAATACATCTCAGAAGAATACTTTAACATCACTTCTATTTGTTAGATCACAAAACTTTTCTCTGTTAGTAAAGGGGTTCCTCAGGGCACCAATTTGGCACCCATTTTGTTTCTTTTTAATTTTATTAGCAGAGGATTTATAAAAATATATATTACATTTCGTTCACAGGTAAATCATATGCGCTAATGTATTTGAAAGCAACCGTCGTAGCATTACTGCGCAAGTACAAGCTCACGGCAGATCATACAAAAATGAAATTGGAATGCAAAGTAATGAACAAACCTTTATCGGGACATTTGATTCAAATTGACAAAAGACATTAATGTATTTAAAATGACACAGTCATATTAGAATGTTTCGCTGAACAAGAGATCAGGATTACGTGATAATGGTGATAATTATATATAAATACTTTTAAACTACACAGTGTTGGGTGATTTTAAAAACATATAGTTATTATCACAATGTTTCATTCAGGAAGAGGTTTCTGCTTAAATTAAACTATGTTGTTATGTTGTCTGAATATTATAATATTTTTATTGGTTTTGTAACTATATCAATTGAGTTGAGGCGGCAATTAAACTGTTTATAAACTCTAATGGCAGTTTTAATAAAAATAACATTTATATTCTTCCTCAACCCAGAATACGAGTTCGAGACCTTTTGTTTCGCTAGTATGTAAACTAGATTAAAAGAGTAGCCGTGTTTTTCGTAATTAATTAATAATAACACAAACACACATACGAGGCCAGGTTAAAATTTTCTGACACTATTAAACTAATTTGCAATCTAGAACTGTCGCTACGAAACTTAGGCTACATTATCTTCCTAGCTCATTCGCAGCACAAACGCACAGGCACTAGAACACTAGATTGCAGATAATTAGTTCAGTCAAAAATTATTTTGCTTGTGAATATTAAAACATTTTCTCTTTCAAGTATAGTCATCACATTAACAAGTATGTGGTTGGCGTATGTGCTCCTGTGTCGGTTGTACTTCCCAGTGAACGAGCAAGTGGCGACGTGCCCAGGGAAATGGCCGCTCATTGGTCACGCTCACAAACTCGTAAACAAGGAAGGTAAGTTCAAAAAGTTACCTAAGTACCTGTATAAAGTGTATAAGCGCATAAAATTATTATTTTATAAGTACACTATTTTTAAGGGGGAAAATCATCGAATAACTGCTCCCTGCTAGGTGAGGCAAATAAATAAAGAAATATAAATAAATTTATTAAAAAAAAACAAAAAATATATTTACAATAACAGAACGCTCAGATTTTATAGTAATAAAAAGTCAGAGTGTCAGACTCTTACTGACTAAAAACCACCCCGTTCCTGTTCTTGCACTTTGAGCCGGCCACCCGTTAAGTCCTCTGCGACTCCGTATCGGCAACAGCCCTATTGGGCCCTATCTGTGGTGATCTGATGGCTCTTTGAGGCGCGCGCGAAACGCGACGCGCCGTACGCTGGGGCCTGGTTCTGGTCGGGCGGCGAGCGACCCATGCTCGCCGTCCGCAGGCCCGCGCTTATGGTGGTCGGAGATCGTCCCGCGATCCTCGACGCCCATAGTGTCTATCGCGATGGCTGGGCTGTGAGGAGGCAGCGCTTTGCTGCCTCACGCGACCCGCCTCCTCCTTAGCTAGCATGACTGCTTCGCAAAAGGAGGAGACGGTATCACAGTTCCCCTCACTCCGCATTATGACCCGCCCTAGGATAAGTAAACGATGAACTTACGTTCTTAATTCACACACAAATACATCCTAAGTCTGAGAGCGCTGTGTTCAGATACTTTTGTTATTACCCAACTAGCTGTTGCCCGCGACTTCGTCCGCGTAGAATAATGACTTCTGGCAGAATTGTGGCTTTCGAATTAGTCTTTACCAAGGGATATTATATGGTAAGATATGTCGTCAGAATCAATTCAGTAGGTACCTAGGTTTATTGTGAAATGAATTTATTAATGGGTTTAACCCGTACAGTGCCTGTCTCATGAGGTTTCAGTGATTAAAACTATTCTATCTCGTTTCCCGGGTTGCATTGAAATAGGTTTATGGTTTAAAAGTCTCGGCATTTTAACGCATAATTCTCGGTCTCGTGGGATTTCTGGTTTAAAAACTCTTAGACGTCCTATCCTGGGTCTCAAACTATCGTTGTACAGAATTTCAATCAGAAAAGGTTTATTGGTTTAAAACATAGAGTCCCGGGATTTAGCACGTAATTCCCATTCCTGTGAGAATTATGCTGATTTTTTTTGGTAGTTTTTCACACATTGGGTTAATGATGCACATGCACATAAACTAAAACAGACCGACAAGCATTCATAATATTTTGCCTCGACGGACAAAATGATATAGGTTTTCAAGGACTAATATTAGTATTCAGCTTTGTAATTAGTTTTTTTTATGTGACTTGTCACATGAGAAAATACTTAAGTTAACTAAAATATTTTAATCGTGGACGTCTTCTCTAGGCTTCTGTCAACCTCTGCATAACTTAATGTTCAGATGATAAGAAAAACAGAAAATGTCAGATGACATAGAAATATTTACTAATGTTATAAAGTGTGTGTGTCTGTTTGTTTTATAGACGGAGCTAGAAATTGACGTTGAGAAATTGCATGGGCTACTTTTTCGTCCCTCTCTGACCTCCCATTTTCCTAAAATGAGGAGTTAAAGTTTGTATGTAGCATTGGTATGCGGACTATTTGTGACCAGCAAAGCAATTGTGCACCATTTATCTTTTTTTAAACCTGCCCCCAACCATTAAGAGCGCAAGTGAAGCCACGGGTAGAAGCTATAATCTATGAATAAAAGATATTCATCATCATTATCAACAGCCGGAAGACATCCACTGCTAGACAAAGGCCTCCCCCTTAGTCCTCCACGTCGAACGACAACTCGCCACCTGCATCCACTGGCTCCCCGCAACTCTGGCGATGTCGTCGGTCCACCTAGCGGGAGGCCTGCGAGCTTTGTCGGTAACTCTAGTTTTTTGGTGAATTTCCATATGTCGGATTTTGTCGCACAAAGAAATCCCGAACATAGCTCTCTCCATTGCACGCTGAGCGACTTTGAGCTTCTCCAGAGGGGCAGAGGTCAGGAACAACGTCTTGGTACCATACCTCATCACTGTCATTACTGGCAATAAACACTGGTTAAAACATCCTCGTCTTTAGGTACTGCGGGACTTTCAATGAGAAGATTTACTACTAGAAGATTACTTACGCGTAACTTCCCAAACGCTGCCCATACAAGCTGGATTATTAGTGCGAACTCCTTATCGAAAAAATATATTCAATTAATTAAATTCGTAGTTTTTCTTTAAAATCTAGATGATAGCATGGATTACTCAAAAACAACGTTTAAATATGCGTCATTAGATTCATACCTTACAAAACGTCCAATGGAGGTGGTGGCAGAGGGCGAGAAGTCGAAACCGTTTTTGGCGCTCTCAGGTGTTCCGCAGGGTTCTGTTCTGGGACCATTATTCTTTAACATTTTTATCAACGACCTATAGGAGAGTATAAAGTATTCGAGACTGTACCTTTTCGCTGACGATCTAAAACTGACCAAGGAGATTAAATGTATGAACTTGTACAGGAAGATGTTGACTGCCTCCAACATTGGTGTACTGTGTAATGGAATGTCACCATATAAAAAACGTAATACCGTTGATAACCAGTTGCGCTTTTCAGATCATATTGATCGAATTATAAAAGAAGCAAACAAGTCATTAGGATTTATTCTTCGTAATTCGGTCGGGAACCCAGATTATAATATACATAAAAGCAGAATTGAACGAGTACAAAAAAAATTCATTCGCAGTCTGTCCTGTCGATTTCAGACACCAGGAACAGATAAAACATATGCGGAAAAACTAAAGCATTTTCAACTGGATACGCTTACCAGGCGCCGTTTGTGTCTCGACATGTCCTTCTTGCATAAAGTGATAAACAACAACGTTGACAGTCCTATGCTGGTTGGCCAATTCGCGTATAATGTGCCTTCGAGAATACTGAGATACCCATGCAAACTGTTCAAAATCAAATTTTGTAGAACAAGAATGGGTCGCAATTCGCCGGTTGTTCGTTTGGCCCGTCTCTACAATGACTGTATATGTATATAGATTGTGACAGGACAAGGAAATAAAACGCTCGTGTGTAATTTGTTATTGTTCTTCTTGATCTGTCTGCACCATTAAAGGTCGCGTCTACTGACGTGTGCTACTGGCTCGTCTAGATTTTTACTTAATAAAAAAAAGAAATACAAGATATTATTAGTTCCTAGCTTCTGCCAGCGGCTTCGCCCACGTTCTCAGAGGTTTTAGTATAGCCTAGTAGTACTTCAGACTACAATGTACGTTCCAAATCTCATCCCGGTCCCTTCAGTCGTTTTTATGTGATTGAGTATCACCATCAAGTAAACTCACACATTTGTAATATCGATCCAAACTAATTAAAACACCGGCCCTAAAGTTACATCGTACAGTCGACTGCGGGCAACCTAACAAACTTACTTTTGCATTTGGTAGTAACTGCGTCTAGGGATTGCACAAATAAACTCAAAGTCAAAGTCAAAATCATTTATTTCAATTCGACAAGAAAGGCACTTTTTAACGTCAACAAAAAAAAAGTAAAAGTGAAGCTATTTGCTCATTCCAAGGTGTAGATTCCTATTGAGAAGAACGAGCAAGAAACTCCATAGGTTACTCTTTTTCAATCAGGTTCACAATACAATTCTCTAGTTACATAGTTTTGTTGTTTGGGTTGTGCGAGAACAATGTAACACTAAAATACAGTCAAAGAGATCGAAAAAAATTAACCTTAAAGGACAGTAAAAAAAAATACAGTCTGGAGCTGACCAGTCCCAGTTGACGGCGCCCGTTCACGAACATGACACGTACACCAGCACCGCCCAACTCAACCATATTGTAGGGAATCGAGCGATCCACTGCACGCGCCACCGCCAATGTGACCTTTGAGTGAGAATGACAAATAAATAAGTTAATTTTCGGGTATTTTCGGGTTAAAAAATACCCAATGTTGTGCTGGAGTTTTTACGTGATACGTGAACATACAGACAGTCAGACATTATTGATGGAATTTCTGGCTTCAGTATCGATGCCTTATCACCTGATAGTTATTTTAGAAATATACAGTATTCACCTCTCTACAGGTACGTTATAATTATGTATGGACTAATATATATTTATAGACTAATACATTATTAAATATGTATATTCTAATATTAAACGCTTGAAATCACTAAAAAAGTAGGATAAAAGTACAATTAATATGTCCTCGGTATTTAAACACCAGACAAATAATTTAAATATATATATTACTAGTGACCCGCCCCGGCTTCGCACGGGTGCAATGTGTATATACATACAAACCTTCCTTAAGAATCACTCTATCTATTAAAAAAAATCGCATCAAAATCTGTTGCATAGTTTTAAAGATCTAAGCATACATACGGACATACAGCGACAGCGACTTTGTTTTATACTATGTATTGATACAATATTCTTGATGTAATACAAATAAAAATAAGTAATATTATCTAGTTCTAATTTTAGACATTATAAACTTATATAGCACAACTAGTCTCACGCGACTTTGCCCGCTGCTCGGCTTTTATTGACAGTACCGTGTTTTTGATAGTATAACACCCTTCCTCGATAAGTGGACTATCCAACACAAAAATAATTGTTTCATTTGAACCAGTACTTTCGGAGATTAGTGCGGTCAAACAAACGAACTAATAAACTCAGCTTAACTTCAGCTTTATATATTAGGTAATAGATACCTCATTTATATTTTGACTCCACGAATGGCGGCGTGCCTAGGCAACTGGTCGCTGTGCGACATATCGTGGGTTCGATTCCCGCACGGGATAATTTATGTTTTTCACGGGACAATTGGCGCCACCCATGGACACCTGAAACACCATGGCGTTACCGGAACGATAGTAGACGTTTTGGGAATTGGGAATTTGAGGATTGTGGAGGATTCGGGGATTGGGGAGACTGGGGAGGGGGGTAAATGTGAACCGGAAATTGTTATTCAGGGTCTGGGTGTCATGTGTACGTGAAACTATCTCACTAATATTATGAAGTTTGTGAGTTCTTGTGTACATTTGCCCAATTTACCCATTTACCCAATCACGTCAAAACGCTGAAGGGACCGGGTTGGAACTTGGGACTGGCCACTGAGATAGACTAAGACCTGGAATAACACATAGGTATGGTATTTATCCTACGGGAACGCGGGCGAAGCCGCCTGCAGAAGCTAGTGTGTTTATAACTGCACCCACGATATCTGAATTTGAAGAAAATGATTTTTAAAAAGGTTTTTTACAAATCGATTTGAATAACATTACATAACATTACATATCCACGAAGGGGTAGGCAGAGTTTGATTAAATTAAAACTAATATATTAACTTTCGTGAGACATATTAAATTAACTAAAAATCGTGAACAGTAGGTAGACTACGCGACAACGCCGCGACCACGCACGCTACTCACGAGGAAGAACCCCTCTGTGGTTCGAAACTAGTAGAGCTTTTCTCAGCATTTCTTTTTATTCTTTTAATAAAGTTGCCCCACACTAGGATGTGTTTACAAACATACAAATTCACATACACATGACACCCAGACCCGAAACAACAATTTGTGGATCACACAAAGTGTTGTTCCGTGCAGGAATCGAACCTGCGGCACGCTCCACGGTAGCCGGTTGTACAGCCACCGCACCAACCGTGCAGTCAATATTTTCTCGACAGTAATTTTTACCCGCGATTTTTAGTTAAAGATTTCTTATTGGACTGATGATTCAATTTTTCTTTTTTGCAGAAGCATTTCACAACTTGATGGCATTTGGGGAGTAATCAGCGAAGATTGGAGATGTCACAAAGTTATTTGTTGGACCCATGCCCTTTTATGGTTGGTTACAATTGTTGTTGCAATACAATACGTATAATGTTGCTGCAATTCCCGTATTTCGAGTATAAAACCCAACAAGGGGTTTTTATAACATTTTAAATTTACTGAAGTGTGGACAGAAATCACACGAGCTGCGTGCGAGCGGCAGTACTTAACCCGTGTGGACGCGACATCGGCGTAGTATCGTAGGTGATCGAGTACGAGTGTGCGCATGTGCGACCCCTTAAAATAAATATCATATAGCAAAGTTAACATTTTGAGTGTCAACACAATGTATCGTCGCTAGGAGAATGAAAAAGTAAATACGTATGTATTGACCTCGAATGAAATAGTAGCTAAACGGGTTACTATAATGTGAAGTCATGAAAGTTTTTTTTAATCAAAATAAATGTACCTACTAACATTGCGTCTACCATCGTTCCGGTAACAACTTTAGCCATATATATACCTGATGATTATACTCATGGCCCTCTGCTTGACATTACTCATGTCATAACATCACGCCTTTTATCCCCGAAGGGGTAGGCAGAGGTGCAAATTATGCCACTGTACAATGTAACACCCACTTTTCACTATTTATGTTATGAGTAATTCACTTATCCACGAAGACACCCTTTTTTTTCGGGAGGCATTGTACACACACAAAAACTTTTAATTGCAGGTGAATTATCCGAGCACGAGCGTGTCAACAATCAAAGTAATAACGACATGCATAATAGGTGGGAGTAGCGCGGAAGGCGAGCGCGCGGCGGCGCGATCATTTGTCTCTTTCATTTTTTGAGTACCTACCAAAACAAAATACGCGCGGATGCCGAGTGCGCTACGCTCGAAAAATACCTACCTACTGTAAATTATAGCAATAATATGCATCATCACTAGATATTAGTAAAAATATGCTATTAGCCTTGAAAATCGCTTAAATATGCAAATGCATATGCAAATATGCAAATGCATATTATCCGGTCTCTACTGATTACGATGATCCTATCATAGATAAAAACTAAAATAAAATATATTTAAAAGCTTTCGAATGTAGTCTTTACTTTACATAATTTAATCGGCTAATATCAATAACTAATCAGTTTAACAAATCAAATATTTTTGGGGTTTAAAAAAGTCACAATAATATTATCTATAATATGATTGATTTGAGCAACCTCCTTATTGGCATCGGTTGAAAATGACTTTTCCTTACCTAAAAGTAAAAAAAAAACGACGTGTCAATGAATTCGTGTTCTATTTTTGAACACAAATTCTCATTTAGAAATTCATTTCATTTATTTTTAATTCCTAATTTAGCGAGCTAACCGCATGATGATGCGTTTTCCTTAGTGGTTCGATTTTTAAAATAAGAATAAAAATAATATTATGCAGTCACCGTGACCTAAAAGTATAAATATTGCATGTCCTTTATTCCGTAGTAGTAAGGGTGGTTTTCGTAGTATATTTAAGGCAAAGTATTTTACTTCTTTAATTATGCTGAACATAACATAACGCCTTTTATCCCCGAAGGGGTAGGCAGAGGTGCAAATTATGCCACTGTACAATGTAACACCCACTTTTCACTATTTATGTTATGAGTCCCATGTAATAGGGGGTGAGCCTATTGCCTTAAACCGGGCACAATTCCAGACTCCGTGCTACTACTGAGAATTGTTTTAAAAACCCAGTACCCAGACCCGGGAATCGAACCCGAGACCGCTTGCCCGGCAGTCGCACTTGTGACCACTCGGCCAACGAGGCAGTCATTGACATTACTATAAAGGTAAATTCATAGCAGTAATCAGATACTCCAACTGTGTACTGAAATGTGTGTCTTTCAGTTGTGACGGAGCCAGAAGATGTGTCCACAATTGTCAACAAATGTCTGGACAAGATGTTCGTGTACAAGTTTGTCGAACCAATGTTAGGGAAGACGTTGATTGCAGCTGAAGGTGATTCCTTAATAATTACGTTAACGTCCTTAGCTTTCCTTGCCGTTCGTAGTACTAAAATCTTCTAGAATTTTAACATAAAAGCATTTCCAAGAATCACTTCACCCACTGTCGAAAACCTTATATCACATGAAAATAAACCTAAATAAACCTTATAAATGTCTCCGTGCAGAAACTACAATATTGCAAGTTTGTGCAATAACTACACAGAAACCAAAGCTGTATCAGGCATTATTTAGTTACAGTCATCCTTATCCTTACTAATATTATAAATTGCTTTGAAATTTTTCAAACGTAAAGTTAGAAGTCTGGATTAAATAATAGGGTACTTATTATCCCGGAAAAATTGATATTCTCGAGGGAAAACGAAATTATTGGTATAGATGGCGCTGTGTGTATTGGTATATGTCACATAGGCTATTTTTTACCCTTTTGTGACGCGAGCGAAGCCGCGGGTAAAAGCTAGTTTAATATAAAGATCAACCACAACAACAACATCAACACAAACCCTACATATGATAGAAACAAATTGTTGACCTGCGAATTGAAAAAAGCTACTTGAATTAAATGAGGTTTCACTATGTTCCAAATTTTTTAGTACCGACATGGAAACGAAACAGAAAATTTGTAGACCTTTGCTTCAAGCAGCAGTTATTGGACGACTACCTCCAACTGTTCAATGAACGCGCTGAGCGGTTTGTCGAGACACTTGCCGAAGACGCTGGTCAAGGTGACGTCGACCTTAAGAAGAAAATCACAAGAAGTATTTTAGAAACTTCTGTCAGTGAGTATTGTAAGAACTACATAGTATAAAACAAAGTCGCTATCCGCCGTCTGTGTGTCCCTATGTATGCTTAGATCATTAAAACTACGCAACGGATTTAGATTAGTTTTTTTAAATAGATAGAGTTATTCTTAAGGGTGGTTTATGTGTTATGAGGCGGGTTGCTAGTATCAAATAAACTTTTGTTGAGACCAGACAACGCCAGACTAAGTTTTATTCGTTCTTAAATTCAGAATAAACATCTATGTTCACCAGTAGAGGTGGATATTTACAACTTATTTTTTTATTGTTGTGTATAAACATCATCAGCCTATAAGTGGCAACTGCTGTCCAAAGGCCTCGGCCACACGGAGAAGCTTTGAGCATTAACCACCACGTTTGCTCAATGCGGGTTGGCAGTTTAAAACATATAATCAGAAATTACTAGCCAACCTGGCAACTTAGTAATATCTCCATTTAAACTTTTAAACCTTCTCTGAACTTCCACGAATAAGACCACAAATTTTGGCCAAATCGGTAAAGGCGATGTTGAGTGGAATTGATTTATATATATACATATATATAGATAGATAAGATTCGTAATTTATATATGACTTTAGTAATAAAAAATATTATAATAATTTCAAAATGGTTCCAGTGACCACTTTCGGGATTAATCTGGATGGAAAAAACGAAATGAACGATAACTACGTCAAAGCATTAAACGACTGTCTGAGCATTATCTCTGACCGGATCTACAAGCCTTGGCTCATCATAGATACTATCTTCAACTTATCCAGTGACAGAAAAAAATTAGAAAAGGCACTTGAAACTGTATTTCAGTTTTCGAAGGAAGTGAGTATAGAAAAGTTGCAAAATCTGCTGTAGTGTAGGAGTAACCTGATGTAAGAGTGATTCGACTATAGGGTCAGTATTCCGAACGGAATACTAAGTATACAGTTTGAGAAATAGATTAATCGTTAAAAGATAAGACTCCAATTTTTAATTATTTTTTTAAAGTTTGTTTATTTTAATGAAAACTAGTTCAATAGAGACCAACAACATTTGACCAACAACATATGTTTAATATATCAATATTACAGACAGTGCTGTTAAGAAAGACTGAACACTTACAACGCTTGCAAAAGAAAGAGGACCTTAACCACAAAGGTATAAACTTATTTGTTGCTTGCACTTTGAGACTATGATTGGTGAAAATGTCTTAAAGAAAATGCTACTATATTCTTAAAATTCTTTTCATTTAGGTGGGTTTCAAAGCGTCTTAGATGTGATTTTGGAAAACTCAATGACTGAAACTGAGAGTGTATTCAACGATGTTGAGTTGAGGAATACAATGGACAACATGATAATCGCTGCCTTCGATACCACTATCTATCAGATGCTCTACGTTTTGATCTGCATCGGTAGCAGCCCTGAAGTACAGGACAAGATTCTTGAAGAGTAAGCATAAATCAATATTCATGTTTTACACTAATCCCTGTTTGGCATGAAATATTTTGCATAACAACTTACCTTTTTTCAGAATAAACTCAGTTTTGGGTAAAGATAAACAACTTAAAAGCAACAATCTATCTCAACTCGTATATTTAGATGCAGTTGTTAAAGAAGCTATCAGATTATATCCAGTTGGTCCACTGATTGGACGACACACAACAGTACATACGAAGTTGCGTAAGTGTGATTTTGGTACCTACATACCTAATTAGGGGCGATTTCCTGCCAAGTGTGAAAATGAAAGAAACCTCTTATATGTTAGAGGTGGTTCGTAGTCCAACAATAATCTGTAACGGAATGTTGATGACGAAAAGGATGTTATTTATAAAATTCATATGACACAGGTATTATATGTGTTGTATAAAGTACCGGTTACGTAAAAATGCAATAACAAATTTCAAATTTCACAGGTAATGTAACAATACCAGCAGAAAGTCCCGTTATTGTGCATATATGGGCCATAAATAGAAGCAAAAGATACTGGGGGTCGGATGCGGAGGAATTTAAACCAGAAAGATGGTTAGATTCCAAGACTATGCCAAAGCATCAAGCTGCATTTGCCACCTTCGGGCCGGGAAGGAGGGGTTGTGTTGGTAAGTTGCACCACTCAAACAGTTTTGGACACTAGTTCCTTTAAAGGCATTTGACAATGGTTTAATTTCTTTTACTTGATATTTTGTTAATTGAAACCATCGAATGATAAATTATACGACATATATAATATAATATATGTACTATATAGGAGTATACCTTTCATAGGTTATCACCGGCTCGTTCTTTTTGTTTTCGAAGGAGTTCCTCAGGGTAACATTTTGTTGCCCATTTTGTTAGTTTCAAACAATAAGCTTAACTAGAATAAAATGTTTTTTACAGGTAAAACATACGCATTGATGTATATAAAAGCAACCGTTGTATCATTATTGCGTAAGTACAAGATTACAGCTGATCATAAGAAAATGAAATTGGAATGCAAAGTGATGCTCAAACCTTTATCAGGACACTTGATCAAAATAGAGAAAAGGGATAAATAGTAAAATGAATCAAATAATCAAGAAAGGACGTTGAAAAAAGAAATGCGGACATAATGGCCCTTAGATATGAGTGAAGCAACGAAATGTAGGTGGTTTTTTATGTGTGCGTGTGTAATGGGTTACCACGTTACCACAATTAAAATAAACTTCGAGCCTGAACCCCGATAACTTTTTACGTTCTCCGCGGCTCGTATGGGCATCAGCCTTATTAGGCTCCATCCGTGTTTATGCTCTGCGTGTAACCAGGTGCCACAGTCGTTGTTTCAAGATACTAAGTCCGCCCCTATTCAACGTCCTTGCACTAAAGAGTAAAATTTGAGATCGTGTACACAAAAAGGTTTAATTGAGCGTACAATTGTTGAAACTAATTTAATATTGAGATATTTAGTTTTTTTTTCTGATTTTTTTTCTTTGAAATGAGTTTCATAGTTATATGGTTGTGAGAAAGACTTCTCTTTGTTGTTATAATTATGTCAGACACAGGTCGCCCACTGCCAAACATGGCCATTGTCTCCTATATTGGCAGGTTGCAACTGACCGTCATTAATTCGTCTGTCTACGAATGTAATAATGTATAAAATGTTGGTATATTATATTACGATGTCAGTGTTATCTAATTAAACGGTATTTTAGACACAAACGACTCAGGGTTTCATTTAAAACACATGAATATTGTTCACAATATTTTATTCGTCCAAACACATTCAGTAGGTATTTTATACAAATTGATTGAATCGTAACGAAGATATAAGTATTTATTGTTCTGAGAAGCGTAATTTTAAGATTTTCCTTTTATATATATAAAAGATGAAATTAAAGAAAATGTAATATATATATTTAATTAAGATGTTTTGTTTTGTATGTTTATAAAAATGAATAGATTCAAGTGGACGATGTTTTTATTAAGTCTACGAACATTTGGTTAAGGCCATCTAGAAATTAATTGTAAATTAATAATGAGGAAACAAATGTCATCAAATACAACAGAAATATTTTAATCAGAAATAACACACTAACTTCTGAATTTTGAAAATCATTTTAACGAAACATGAATAAGACATGAAATTGCTTTGGGCCACAATATTTATTTGAGTTTTCAAGAAAAGTACTAAATAAATATTTGTTAATAAAATAGCTAGTAGTAAAGAACAGTCGTAATTCTAGTTTCATTATATTAGTATAGTCTATTTCACAACATTTGGACTATGTGGCTCCCATATTAGCAGAATGAAATTTTGTACAAAAAAAGATTACTTTTGTCTTAGAAGCATTTTTTCCTTTTTTTAAGAGGGGAAAATCATCGAATGACTGCTCCCGTCTGGGTGAGGCGGGAGGGAGTGTTAGACTTTTATTGACTAAAAACCACCCCGTTCCTTCTCCTGCACGTCGCGCCGTAGCCCCGGTTACCCGTTAGGTTCTCCGTGACTCCGAATCGGCATCGACCCTGTTGGGCCCCGTCTGTGGTGGTCTGATGGCTCTTTGAGGCGCGCGTGGAACGCGACACGCCGTACGCTCGGGTCTGGTCTTAAAAGCATAACTTTTCATTTTGCCAACATGGGAGCAGATATCTAAACTATTTTAACAATAGTAAAAATTGCACATTATTTGACATCGACATATTGTTTCGAAGGCTCTCTTAATATATGTAATATCGTTCTATAAAACAGGTCATACAATATATTAAACGGAAATCTATTAAAATTGAATAAAACATATTCGTTACAACATTCGGACTACTTCAATGGTAAAAGACAAAGTATGACGTTTCATTATTTAATTATATTTTTAATACTAAAAGTTTTTATCCAAAAAGATTTAAAATTTATTTTAAAATCTTGTGGCTCCTGCACTTGATCACTCACTTTACCGTGCATTGTCGTTATAGTTGAAACGAGCCGTAATAAAGTACGTAGTAACTCGTCGATGGAAACAATGTCACGGGCTAAAGTGTACAAGAGCTAATTATAATACAACGCAAGCCCATCTCTTGTACTGAATCGATTACATTTTAAAAAACCCTAAAATATTGCTGACGCTTAAACATACTGGTAATAAAATAATCTCAAATACTTTAACATCAGTATTCCAATATTGCACAAATCAAGCTTCATAAGCATTTGGACGTAAGTTTACGTTCGACAGTAACATTAATAAATATCTATACAACATAACACACGACTAGCATCATAATACTTTTAGCTCCAATAAATAAAAAAATAATTTAATTGAACGTTTATAATGTAAAAGACGAAAACATTCGCTTACACACTTAGTAGTTACATACTCCTTATTCACAGGCCAAGAAACGATCATTCTATTTTAAAATATAAACAGTCGATAGATCTTAATGGTAAGTTAGAAAATATTATTAATATAGCTGTTATAGAAGGTACAGAAGAGAGGACAGTGACGTGATCTGCAGCTGCTGGTCTTCAGCGAGACTGCTTAGGACTAGCGATAGGAAATACAACCTCGATCTGCATCCAAGTCTTTTAAACAACAATAAAGTACTAATGCAGTGGATTGCAACACAACTCGAAATGTTTCACACTAAAAAACCCACAAACCTTGAATGACAATAACTCGGAATTCCGAGTTACAAAAACCCGAAAAAATCGATCTCATCTGTTGTTTTTAAAATAGAACATCGTGAAGTAATACTAGATCACAGTCTATGTAAATAATACATTTAATTAGATAAACATTTACCTAAAGTTTGCTTTACAGGAAACATTGTTAACGTCAATAAGACGCGGAGATTAAAATACTAAAAATTATTTTTAGTTTTTATTTTTTGTTCTCTAAAACTTTTTGATTGACTGAACAAAGTTATGTGAATTTTAATACAATAGACAGACTATTCATTGAGTAAACATTTAGTTGTTTTTTTACTGGATAAATTACTGGCTAAAATGACACTACATTTTCTACATAAATACAACCTCCAAGGCAGCTAGCGAGAGTACTTCCCTAACTCTGTCCAGCCAGTACAAAACAAGTTCCACGTAAACTACTTAATACGAAGTATCTAACAGTAGAAATGTACAACGGTAACGACTATTAATAAAACGACGTTTTGACTCACACGAGTCGAAGTAGAGAGTACAACCCGCTCCTCTCGTCACCTTGTAGAATTCACGTCAACGTTTCCGACGCCACAATGTCAAACACGGAACTTTTCACGTCAGCGTGCCTTCTTCGCCGGTTCGTATCGTCATTTTCAAACTGCACCATACAATGAAGGAAGACAGGAGTGACTCCTATAAAGTGACGTTACCCAGTTAGCTTAATCAATCGATTTGGACGGCTTCACTCTGTCCAGCTTTTCAGGTTTCTCTGTACTATTCTGGCTGCCCCTGAAATCACATAAATTGAGATTATTGGCTATTCTTAATACACTACAATTACGTTTGAATTACATTGATGACGCATGCGCCTTTTTAAAGGGTTCATTAATAAACTTAAAGAAAGCACTAATTGTTGACTGAAAACATATTTTTCTACCGAACTGTTTTCTTAAATAGACAATTAAACTGTCAAACACCAAGCGGTCACCGGTGACCGCAACCTATTGTTCTATAATTGTGTCTACAAAACCGGTACTCGACGAGATTACATTGATGCCGAAGGGCCGATTTTTCCAACGCCAGATAAATTTTAACTGAGGAAAAACATTGAATATTTGAGAAGTTCTTCCATACTAAAAACTGTCAAATGTCAATTTTTAGAACAATAGAACGTAGGGAAAGTGTCGGTAGAAGAAGAATGATTTACGTTGGCTGCATATTATGGTGATCAAAATCAGAAATATGTCAACTCACCAGTTGAGGCTCAACCGTCACAACATGTGGCAGAGCCTGGCCTTGTGCTTGGCCTTGGGCGGCAGCTCCTCCTGCAGCAGCGTGGTGTGGTGGTTGTCGCTGACCACGGTGCTCTTCTTCACCAGCGCCGGCTGCTTCTCGCTTTCCCGAGAGCTTGCCGCCGCGTACATTGATCTGAAACATACTTTGGTTTTATTTTGATTTTACAACTGTTTCTTCTGCTCTTGTATTTTATGTATGGTTTGTTTCCTATCCTCGATTTTTATCGTTTATATCTTTATTTATACTATTTACATGATTTATATTTTTTTCTTTTTCGATTAGGTTTTTTATTTTAGTGACGTAATTTATTACTAAGTATTTTTATAACATCTTAATCGCTATTTATCTATGTAATTTCAAACTAGGTAAATAATTACTTACGTACTCGATAAAAGAAAATTGCAACAAACTAAAGAATGCTGATAAACTGCCGCATAAAAGCATCATTAAGCATCTCAAAATCACTCGGTAAAATCTGTTTTATAACGCCTAGTCTACCATTTGCAAAGTAAAGTACCCAAGTTCTACAAATGCATTGAAGCTAAGTTACTCAAGAAGCAGTACATCAGTCCTTACCTGGTAAGCTTACTCCTGGCAGGTCTGGTGGTGAAGTTGGAGCTCTTGCCTCTCCTCAAGGAGTGGAAGGAAGTCTTCAACGGTTTCACCAGCGCCATGCTACTACTACTCTCAGGTATCGGCTTTGAGCAGTTCAATGTCTGTACTGTTAGCTCCACGTCTTTTATGGGCTCATTTAATGCTGAAAAATTTAAATTATAATTTTATACCAAAAATCCGAACGGTTATCGCTGTGTGGACTTCTTTGGGATTAGGTCTTTCCAAACGGATGGCAACGCATTTGTAATTCCTATCGAGTTGTAGGGTGTCCATAGGCGGCGCCGATTGCTAACTATCAGATGTATCTACCAGTTTGCCGAACTAACCTATAATATATATAAAATAAGAATTTTGTATTCTTTTGTATCGCCACTTACCAGTAAATTCCTCAATAGGCTTATCAATAGTGTCATGATCGATCCACGTGAGTCCCATCTCCACCTTCTCCGCGAGGTCCTGCCATCGCTGTCGGTTGTCCATAGTGCCGGTGTACAGGGGTTGTATCCAAGGGAACGTGTCTGAGAGCACCTTGTATAGCGGCAGGCAGATCATGTCGATGAAGCCTACTTGCATCTGTGGCAGTTCGTCTTTCTTCTCCCTAGAAGTAGAAATATTTAGATCAAAGCTCAGTAATTGGGTTCAAGATATACTTTTATTTGGATTTGATATATTTTAATTAATCCTTAATTTTTTATAGATTTTTGAACCTTAGCACTTCGCAATTACGTTGAAAATCTATCCAATAAGTATTTATAATTCACAATTTATAATAATTCAAAGTTTTGTCGTGCAATGAATTTTGAAAATTGGAAACGGTGTTGGTTAGTACCTGTCCATCATAGCAATGGGTTGTTGGTTTAGCTGCAGTTTCTCCAGGTCTCCCTGGTCGAAGAATTCGTCGGCCACTAGTTTGGCCACCTTGTGTTGTACTTCCCAGGGCTTCGCTATTGCTGACACGTCGCATGCTGTCATCATCATGCCGCAGAGCACTGAAAACAGAAAAATATTTATAAATTCATCGTATTTATGTTTAGCACTGATTATTTACAATGCACAATTTTTTTCCCCATTCTAGATAAATGTTTTCTATCTTACATTCTTTCTTCTCTTGACTCTGCCAATCAAACTCTCCATTCTCCACCAGTTCGTGGAACTTGGCTCTCTTCTTGAAGTACATCGCAAGGTCTGTCGAGAGGATCGCGGTTTCTACCACCCTCATCACATCTTTGTAGTCCACCGGTGACAGTGCCTGGAAGATATTTTGGTAAAATCAGAAACATTGTGGTTGACTGATATTAATGAGTACTTATAAGCAGTAACTGAGTGTAGGAAAATAATGAACATTTTGGCAGCATGTAATATTACTTATGTTTCATGTATCCTTCACCAGATTTCTAGGCTTTCAAACTAGAAATCTTGAGAAAAATTAACAGGAAAAGACAGTGTAACTCACCTGGAAAATATTATTGCTCTCACTATTAAGAATCATGACACACTGGTCGAAATGATGATGTTCCATCGTGGAAGTCGAATACAATATTGCGAGTGGACTCTCTGTCTTCGTCTGGAAGGCGTTGTTGGTCCCCCTATGATCCAGGTCATGACATAGACAGGCCACGAGAAGACCCAGGATCTCCAAGTCTGACATGAATCGCTCCATCTTGCCTGTCTTCAACATTGCGAACATGGTCTGAGCTACGTTGAGTGCGTGCCTCCAGTTATGGTACTTCACTGGACGGTAGTTCTTCTTCACGCTGAGGATCCAGCGGCAGAGGACCTGGTAAGTTTATCAATAATGGTTAATTAGGCTACTCTGACTTGCTGATTTCCCATAGTATAGTTGG